TACACAATTCCCAGGGACTGCCCGTGACCCAATATCATGAACAGCTTCTGCACTGCAAGTGGTGCCCAATGCTGTTTGTGAGGACCAAATGCAACACTGAGACTAGCGGTCCACAGATGGATCATCTAGCTGGGCCAAGCACTGATCCAGAAGTCATGGAAGGCAGCCCATAGCATTTTCAGACTTATTAAGGTTTCTCCCTGCTTGACTTACTGTTTCATTGCTGGCAATAAAGTTCTGATCCAGGGTTACAATTCGCAGCTTGACTATAAAGCAAAAGAAAAACAGGACTGGCTGAAATGAAATCAAGTCTGTTAATAATAGTAAGAACGGATGGCTAAGAAAGATGTGCCCATGTGCTTCACTGAGAGCATGTGGGCAGCATCTAGAGCTATCCACTCCTGGGCCTATGCTCAAAGCCCTGCTACGGTCTGGCACCCTGCTAGAACAAAAGTGGTAGGAGAGGTGGTGAGGGGTTTCTGGGAAGGCTGGCTGTGCTTATGACAAACAGCATTTTTCTGGGCACTGGATCTGTGGTAGGGTACTTAATCTTGCCTGCAGTGAAGGGCGTACCAGTGGAAAGAGCGGAGAGGCATGGGGCAAAGAGATGTACCCTGGGGTGATCTGAGCTGTGCTAGGGCAGTGATGGGACCTGCAGGACCGTGATCCTCATCTGATGAAGTCTGTTGGGGAGAGAGAGATTTAGGGCACCGACAGACTATTGTGACTTTGACTGGAGCAATAATGAATATAACACAGTGGCAGCTGAACTTTTTCTCACACACCAGCCAAAACAGGTAAGCCGTGTTCACACTGGTATGCTGTCTGAGTATGGCTAGTACTGGAGAAAACGTGTGCCATGCTGACGTAGGAGAGAGGTATCCCCAGATCCCTCAAAGCCTAGGAGGAAGGTGAAGACTGTGACCCATCTTCCTTGCAGAGCAGTCCCCACTCCATGTGCTAGAGGCTACCCCGTATTGTGTGGCCTAAAGACCGCTTTTTCTCTCACAAGACATGGCATTCTGTCCATACCAATCTGTCCAGGTTTGTACACGGGTTTGTCTGTCTGGATAAAAGTCTTCTTGTCTGCGTGCTTGATTAGGACTTTCTGTTTCTTCTGAAACTCTGATTTGGCTTCCAGGACTGTGATAACAATAAAAGCCACTTCATCGAGGTTTCCAACAGGAGAAGGGACCTGCAGGCATAGTTGTAACCATCATTCAGGGTGGTTCCATTCACGGATCCCCAGGCTTTTCGGAACAATGATTATGATACTGTTTTTCTATTGCTCCTGTTCTTCTTGCCCTGAAAGACCCCACAGTACTTTTCAGAATGCTTTCCAAAAGAGTGAAATGCCAGTGGGGGTACACAGAAGGAAGGACACTGGCAGACCTATACAGGCTGAAGCAGAAGACTCATTGCCTGGTTAAGATGTCCCCATGGGAAGACACAATTCTTTGCCTTTAGAATCATAGAATCATAAAATCATTAAAGTTGGAAAAGACCTCTAAGATCGTCAAGTCCAACCGTCAACCCAACACCACCATGCCTGCTAAACCATGTCCTGAAGTGCCATATGTACACATTTTTTGAGCACTTCCAGTGATTGTGACTTCAGCACTTCTCTGGACAGCCTGTTGCAATGCTTGACCACTCTCAGTAAAGAAATTTTTCCTAATATCCAGCCTAAACCTCCCCCAATGCAACTTGAGGTCATTTCCTCTCATCCTATCACTAGTTACTTGGGAGAAGAGACCAATCCCCGCCTCCCCCCCGGTACAGCCCACTTTCAGGTAGCTGTAGAGAGCAATAAGGTCTCCCCTCAGCCTCCTCTTCTCCAGACTAAACAACTCCAGTTCCCTCAGCTGTTCTTCATAAGACTTGTTCTCTAGGTCCCTCACCAGCCTCCTTGCCCTGACACAATTCTTTGGCTTTCTGCCCAGCAAGAGCAGAACTCATGCACTATTCACCCTACTGACAACCCCTGAAAATATCTTCCTCACCTGGAATCTTGTGCAATGAAAGAAGGTGAGCTGAGAGACGGACTTAGTGATCAGAGTCTTATTCCCAGCTCTGCTTTGCAAGGTTACTGTCACATGGATTGGGACTACTTGCTTTCTGCTGAGCTGGAGACATACCGTCTCTGACAAGGGGTAGTAGAGCTGAGATGGTATTGCCACAGCATAATTTCTATTACAAAAGAAAAAAAAAAAAAGTCAGGTGAAACTGATTTTCTAAGAGGACACGTTTTGACCATAGGATCTGGGTACTTCCTAACAAGACTTCTGGTCTCTTCATTCCACTGTGATAATGCCAGTGGAACAAGATCACAAGGTTCTTCTCATCTATAGGTACTGCAGGCATTAACACGGGCTCTGAACTACATGCTGTACACACATGTAAAAAGGTAAAGTCATTGCTTCCAAATCTGAAAGTCAAAGTAAGGTGAAGAGACCTCCCCATGTGACCCAAGGGATCAGCAGCAGAGCTTGACTATGTTGCAGATTTCCTGAGACTTCAGCCTTTTCATGGAACCACACTACGTATTACCATCAGTTTGCTTGGTTGGTTATCTGCTTTCTGTCCTATCAGCTACTCTCGGGCTCAGAACCAATGCCATGCCTATGGGACCCAGTGTCCCAGATTCATGTCCCAGGCAGGGTCTCATGGGCACCTTCTCTTCAGCTCCTGACACTCCTGTCCTCCTTGCTCTCATATGCCAGATCTCACACCTCTGTGGCTACTCTCATAGCTGTGCCCGTGGGTAGCACCAAGAAGCTGTTCATATTGTTGGGGTTTTTTTCCATCGTATACTGCACTGCAGCAACTAGGACCAAAGAAAAGCCAACGTTCAAGCGGGTTTGAAAACTCTTATCGCTAACTACTTCTGCTTACTGCCACTGGACAGGTTCAGCCAGCGGCATGTTTTGCAGCAGCAGGGGGGCATGGCCTGGAAAGAACAGAAGAGCAGGAGGCAGGGACACGACCTGCTGGCAGTTCTTAGCTGGAGTGCAGCACCCCAGCAAGAGGGAGTCAAAGTCCTGCTGGCCGAGAGCCTTGAGTGCTTTCACACTTGAGTCCTGTCAAACTGCCTTGAGCAGCTTGTCTGCCGCTAATAGTAGGGGATCTGGTAACAGATGCCAGAGACATTTGGAATTTGCTACTTAAGCTGACTCACAGCACCTTTCTGCTGCCACTGGGCCAAAGGATGGGATGAGCACTGAAGACTCACTGCTTCAACCTCCCATACCTCCCTCACTCCTAATGACCCTTTACTCTGGAACATTTTCTTACACCCCTTTGACCATTCGCCCTTGCCCTTGTCTTCTGAGCTACAGAAGTCTGAGACAGCATCTCTGAGGCTGTCGTTCAAGGATCTCAAGAGCCCGGCTGGATTACTTTCTCATGAATCTACACAAAACGCTGGTAGACAGGCGGGACAGCAGACAGCCTGTTGAAGCTAGCAGTGTTTCCACAAAGCAAAGCTTCATGCTGAAGGTAACAGTGGAAAACAAGGTAGCAGAAAAGCATCATTTGAACAGGAGCTGTGTCAGCCTGTGGTACACATCCTGTACTCCTGCTAGCAAGGATTTTTAAAACTAGTCTTATGCATGCCACACCACACATGGCAGGAAGGAACCTAGCTACGACCCAGTGACATATTTCCCACTGTAACATCTACTGCTTAAGCACAGAGATATTTCTGTTTTCACTCATGCCACAGCTGCAAAAGCAAAGGCCTTCAAAAAGCCAGAGCAAGTTCACAGGCCACTATATCACAGCAGTGCCTGCTGGAACAGGAGTTGCATTCCTGATAAAGTATATGAGGAGAAGCAGTGCTGGGAAGTGCCCTTGCCAGAGGTCTGAGAAAAGGCATGGAGGGAGCAGACAGCCAGCCAAGCCAGAATGAACATGCTGCTTTACAAAGAGCATCCCTATTAGGTACCTTGGGCTCTTGTTTGCTCAGTTTGTAAAGGCACCCAGCTTTGTCTGTCGAAGGCTTAAATGATGGTCTATGGCTGTAGGGAGAAAAGCATAGCCCAAAAGGAAACATATTCTGGAGCACAGTAGAAGACGTGAGATGTCGGCAGGTCAGAATTAAACACATGCAGAAAGCTGGCAGAGGTGCTCTGCCCGAGTTGTTGCAGAAATATGTTGTCTACGTCAAAGGCACTCAAGGGAGAGCCAAGTGGCAGGGGGAGTGTCAGGGGGAAGGTGCACGAGAACCAAGCGAAACCTTGGGAATACGAGAAATTATGCCTCTCTGGAAAAACACTCCCGGCCTTAGGGCTTCTGCCCTGTTTCTGTCCCACCGCCAACCCCGCAGGATTCCCCACAGACCAGAGCGCGTATGTGAAGGACCTGAAGTTCTTACAGCATTGCAGGTATTCCAGCCGTGCTAGGCAGGAGAAGGATGCTGCCCCACAGGAAAGCGATGCTCCACATAGCTGACTGCAGGTCAAATGCCTCCACAGAAAGCTTAGCCTCTCCTCTGTCCCTCCTTCACCCTTGCTTCTTCTGTCTTCCTTCTTCTCTCTCCCCCTCATCCAGAGCTGAAGGACTGTGCAGCTCCTGCCCTGACAGGGTGCCCGTCTCTCTCTTGGCTTCGAAACCAAGGAGGTGGAAACCACGCTGCGCATGGCTGGGGCTGGGATGTGGGCGGGTGGAAGGGGTGGGGACAACGTTTGTTGCCCACACACCGAAGGCGCTTGCCTTGAGGGCTTGTAAGGCTTGTTGATGCTTCCCAGGGAGATGTCTTGCTCTGCCTTGTGCAGCACAGCTCATGCCAGCAGGAGTGCTCCGTTACAATCATTGGTACAGGGGCCCAATTTTTATAAAGGTGTCGTTACCAAGATTTCATTGGAAACATCCTGGGACAAATACATTCTTTGGGATGTCAGTGGATTTTGCTTCAGGGCTCTTCTGTAGCACTTCTTTTTTATGTACTATTTACTTCTTACTGAAATTTCATTCCTGCCCTGCAGCCTCCAGCCATACCAGCCCCGGGCTTCACACACAGCTCTGCCAGTGCCCTCATTCCTCCCTGGAAGAAGGGAAGAACTTTAGCATGCTGCTATCTTTTTGCTGTCTATCTGTTCCCATTCAAGTTCAGAGGCAGCCAGCCTGATGACCATTCAGAGATGCAGAGCCATGGGGAGTGTTTCTGAAATCAGACAGAACTCAGATTGCTTTTTGTCCCACTAGTTTAGGCTTGAACTCAATACCCTGTTGATTTTGGAGAACTGAATATGCTCCCAGATCAGTGACATACAGTGCTTTAAACCTGCGGATTATCGGCAGTGTGATTGCTAGGTTAAAGGCCACTCTGTGCCTGTTGCATCGGACTGTGCACTGAGCGGGTGGATGCTAAGCACACGCACGGGGACTGTGCCAAAGTAAATCCAGGGGATTGCTTCAGCTGGCAGCAAAGAGTAGGTGGATGGCAAATTCACCCAATATTGTGTGCTTTTAGTTATGCTGTGCAAAAACACAGTAGGCACCAGGGCAGGATGAGGATATCCACCTTCAAATGAGGTTGCAGCTAGAGAGCAAATGCATCCAAACCCTGTTCGCTTCACTGCTGCGACCCAGGAGAAGGAAACACAGGGCTGCAGTGTCTGAGAAGAGTCTGGAGATGGGTGGTGGTGTCAGTGTGGAACTACCTTATGGCTGGAGGAAGCTGGCAGAAGACCAGAATTCTGGCCTGGGGGGATGTAAAGTAGAGATTTGCTAAAATATGTGGGGACTTAAAATGTCTCGCTTTGTTTTGAAAGGTCTCACAGTGGAGCTACGAGAAGAGTTGGCAGTGGGTGGCAGGAGCAGCCTTGGAAAAGTCTCTGTATTCAGGAGGATCAGACATGGCTGAGGTGGATGGGTGGACAGAGGTAGTGACGCAGGGAATGGAGGTGAATTGAAAGGTTTTTACTCCAAGCTCTGACTGAATACCTGATGAGGAGAAGATCACTAATGATGCACAGAGAGAGTAGTGAGGATACTTCTTACAAGCTGAGGACAGTGGCTGGTGTGCGGCTTTGGCTCTCTTTGGATGCTACAGCCAGGATCCAGACCAGCAACAGCCAAGATGAGTTTTCCTCCTAAGTCCCCTTCAGCTTGGGTTAGAGGCCACCCACCCCCCATCTTCTCCGCAGTGCTCTGGCACCCCATGGCCTGGAATACCGCCTGAATGTAGATGTGGGTGGAGAACTGTGCTGTGTGGCCTTTACTCTGCTGTCGGTGGAAGCAAGTAAATATTAGCTAATGTCATTAGTCTGGAAGAGATACTATCTCCATAGATCAGCTCCCTGACTCTTTGGACTTAGGAGCATCTGAGGAGGGTATTTAGGATTGCTCCAGCCCATCAGCACAGGCAGTTCTCTCCTCCTGTGTGGATCTTGTCAGCTGTCTGTCCCAGACCAAGCAATGGGAGCACCAGTGCTCCTCTTAGCCCTGACCCTATTCCCAGTCGCAGCTGCAGCGAGCCTGGAACCGTGAGATTATCTCGTTTTGATTTTGGGGGGCTTGGTGGAAGGGTGGTGCTGAGGTGCTGCACTGTTTAACCATCATGAAGATGAACGGTGGGGGCCTTGTTCTGAGGGAGGCTGAGCTGAAGGAGCTCCTGCCAAGCCCCATTGCAGTGCGGGGTGTCGAGCACCATGTAGATGAAGCACCTGGCGTTCACTTGTGCAGGCACTGCTCTGCACACACCGCAAAGCTGCAGAAGCTGCAAGCTTTGCCTCTGCTCGCCCTGTGCTGGAGGGGGTGAAATCTGGTGTGAGGGCTGCAGCCACTGAGTCTTTGGCTTCGTTCCTCACACAGCCTTGCTCTGTGGGCTTGCAATCGGAGTATTGTACACTGGGCAGCAGTGTCCTGGCTGGTGGCAAGTGTTAAAGATTTTATTCTCACACAAGTGGGTTGCACTAGGTATTGCTTTATTCACAACTCAGAGCTGGGCCATCACCTCAGTGAGTGGCCAAGCTGAACTTGCTAGACCAGTTGATATACATTTATTAAACCGATTACATCAAGTCTAGAATCTTCATAAGTTTCTAAGCAACCGTTCCGTTCCTTTCAGTACATCATTTATTAAGTTCTTTCTATTCTTCTGTCTTTGTAGAATTCTCCCTCGCTGGTTTCAGGCCTTGCTTGGTTTCAGGGTCGTCTTGGAGTCGTCGTCTGTCCTTCATCTTCTTTTGTGAATTCTGTTTGATACAATCCATACAATTGATTTCTATCCCCATTGCAAACATATCGATTGTATGGTTTCTTAACACAGCTGTGTTTACACCATTGAATCTGTTCTAGTTCTGTGATTTTATTCTATTCTATAATCAATGTTCTTTATAATCAATCTCTAACAACAAGGTGGTAACAGACAGACATCAGGATCTCTCTACTTCTACACCAGGCATGTTGCGTCTTTCTGGTATGGAAAGGGAGCTGTAATGAGTTGCTACACTTCAGGCCTCCAGACATTTCTAACCCTGGGTCTACCTCTTTGTGAAAGCACCAGAGATGAATTCCGACCTGCCCATCTCAGCCTCTGAATAGTTTTTGAATGTCTCCTGCTCTCTTCTAGTCACTATATGGTAGTGTTCCCTGCTGTCATGCACCATTCCCGAGAGGAGAAGCTCTGCATTCACCTCAGCTCCCTGCCTGAGGCCGTCCACCTCTCTGTTACCTTGGAGGCGACAACCCAGAATCACACACTGGTGAAACAGGACGTGGAGAAGCCAGGCACTTTTCAGTGCATCCCCTTCCAGGTGAGTGTAGCTGTGGCTGCTGATATGGCAGCGGATACTCTGACCTTCACTTCAGACAGGAGCCAGCGCTTCTCTGGGTACACTGTCCTTTGCCTGGCCATGAGTTGCAAGCAGGTTAAGTGTATTTCCCTGCCAATGCCAGGCAAAATACAGCAGTGTCCTGGTGCCTAGCAAAGTAGGGAATCTTTCCAGTGTAGACAAACACCTGTTCTTTTGACCTGTATCAGCCCATTTCATCCTACTTAAAAGCTGTTGGAAAACTTTGGCTTTTAGTTTGCTCAGTGTTTATTCCTTAAAAATGCTTGTATATCACAGTGCAAGTGAATGCATTGGGAATACATTATTTACATCCCCGCTTCCTCAGAAGCCTGCCCCTCCAGCCCCAAGCGGACCCTTCTGCCCTAACGCTGCACCTGTACTGCAAGGCGTAGTTGCAGCCTGCATAGACATTGAGCTTGCTTTAATCTAGCTGTGATGGGTGGTGATGGCGCTGAACCCACAATGAGCTGAATTTCACCTAGCCAGTCTGAATATTTCTTGGGTGGCTTGGGTTTCTGTTGGCTTGGCTTTCTGTCATTGCAACTTTGCTGTTCTAGTTAGCTTTACTAGACACTCTGAGGCTGGGGCAAGACTACAGGACCTTCAGTTACATTTCTGGAGAGCCACGGAGATGTGTCTGGTACTAAGGCTCTACAAAATGCCCCTGTCTTCCTCAGCACTGTACAAAGTTGCTGCGCCTATGCCCTGATTGTCCTGCAGATTCACCAGAGCTCAAGGAGGGGCTGTAGCCACTTCTGGTTCTTGCATCAACAAGACAATGATTAACTAAATGTTGGTGCCAGCCCTTAGGAGAGAGCAAGTCCTGGCTCTGGAAAGCCAAGGAAGTCTGCCGTTCACAAAAAGAACCTTTCTCTTTGGTCTTTGTGATACTGAGGTGTCCTGGTTTTGCCTGATCAGTATCTCATCTCCTGTTACTGTCTTGGTCAGCTCCAGATCTGACTTACCTATGGTTTTTCTTGGTTTCATAAAATAATCTCGCATTTATGTGAAGTGGGAGCATGACAGGTCAGTTGGTTCACTCTTAGGTTTGTGAACAAGAGACAGGTAGTGACTGCTTCTTCTCTCTGTAATGACAAGCAGGTGAGAGACAGAGTCATACAGTGGAATTTGGACTCTGAAGTTTGGGGATTTTTTAGCAGTGAGATGATGTCTCACATCTGGGATAAGATGTAAAGTATCTGACAAATTTGTTTTCCATTTCCTTGTATCATTCAACCTAGGTACCTGAGTTCATTCCCGGGAAAAGAGATGACTCCACATCACATGTAAGATACCTCTCTTGGCTGCCTCTCCTCTTACAAACTAGAGGGCTTTTGTCTCTCCTGCGTCTGAGCCATGTTAATGTTGGAGATGCAGGGTGGGAAAGATAGTAAAGGGGAGAAAGAAATATGGAAAGAGGCAACTGTGACAAGGAGAAAGGCAGAGAAAAGAGAATGAGGAAGTTGGGGAGCACAAAGACTATGACTAGGGAAAGGAGAGAGCTAAATCAATGGAGGGGAAGGGAGGAGAGGGAAGCTGGAGATTTTGGTAGGACGGGTGGCTCTGCTTCTCCTTCAAGCTACTTGCAGTCTCAGGAAGTTTGTTTTTTCTAACCTGACAGCCAGAGAAGGTGGTTTTTCTGTATGTCCTGATTCACAGCGGGGACAATGTGCTCTTTGAGGGTCGCAAGAAGGTTCTAGTCAAGCCCCAGAAGAATGTAATTCTGGTAGAGACCGACAAGGGCTTATACAAACCTGGAGAAACAGGTAAGGCAAGAAGGTCGCATATGGAAATGGGGAGGGAAGGATCAAGGTAGCAGCCACATCTAGGGGGAAGATTTCACCAAGTGCAGCAAGCTAAGCTTGTTGGAGATGGAAGAAAACAGATCTCTACCATCAGATGTTTCCTGGAATAGTATGAGTCAGGATGTTCCCCTCTGAGCTGTGCTGTACCAAATGCCCAGCCTGCTGCTCCTGGGTGTTGTTTTGGTGAAGGATCTTTAGTGAGACCCAAAAGCAAAGCCAGGACTCTCCAGGACACTGGACAATCTCTTGTTGTTTTTTCAAGACTGTTTTTAATCTTTGAATAAAGCCTAGAGTGACAGTTCCAAGCTGTGTAAATACAGAGAGTTACTCCACAGTCTTCACAATATGAACAGACTGCAGACAGACCCACACCACTGTTGAACTCATCATTGTAATCTTTCCAGGTAAAGGCAGCAAGTTTCTACAGTCCACAGCTGCATATAAATCTCCCAGACAAAGTCCTCTGGGGGGAGGGGATGCTGGGAGGGCTATCTGGGGAAAGACCTGAATACCTCTGAGGTAAACAAGGAGACATGAATACTGAGCACAGAAAAGAAGCAGCAGGCTTGTGCAAGGACATGTTGCAGCCAGAATACTTTACTATCATTTTCTTTGTATCTCCAGTGCAATTTCGAATTGTGAACCTTGACGAGGACCTTAAGGTCATTAAAAAAGAAGTGAGTATCACCTTGCGCTTTTCTAGAAGTAGGAGCCTCAGCATGAGACACACTGAGAAGCTCATGAAAGAGACATCTCCCTTTGTGTCTGTTAAACCATAAGAACAAATGATCTTTGAAGGGAAACCACTCATCTGCTGGTCCCATGGAGAAAGACCACAGTGTAAGCTAGCGCAGAGCGAGGAGGAGACCTAGTGTGGGGTCTGGATGGGGCAGAAGTTTCTGGTCAAGGGCTGATGTCAGGCAATGTTATTAATGCTTGTTCACATGGATGCTGTTTTGCTCTGTATAAAACTGAGCTTGTGTTTCTCTTGTTTTCACAGTATTCCCAGATATGGCTGCAGGTAAGTGACAAAGAACTGACCAAAGGAAGATGTCTGTCTCTTCTACTGTGCCCTTTCACTCCTGGACAGAGTCGTGCCACAAATGTAGCCGCATAAGATTGTGATTATGGTTATCGTTCAGGTGCAGCTGAAGTCTCTTCTACTTGGTCAGCCAGGGTTCTTCATCAGCACCTCTGTGATGCACATAGCTGAGCTAGAGGCAGGACAGCAATGAACTTCTACCCAACACCTTGTCTGCACAAAGCACAAGGCTAAGTGCTCAGCAGATGCAGCACAGTGGCTAGTCCTTCCCATGGTGTTACGGTGTTACCAATTCCCAGTAGCTTTACTGTTCTTGACAGCCTTTGCATTTCCAAAGTTCAGTAAAAGGATACTGGAGGGAGGAAAAGGAACCTTGCTGGGTGATCTGGCATCCTCTCTACTGGGGCAAGGGTAAGCCCTTGTCATGTGCTCTTGTGCCTGAGTATGGCTGGACCTGCCAAGTATCCATGCTTTCAGCGTGACTTGGTGGCTCTGCATGTCCTTTCCCAAATAGGATCCTGAAAATAACCGTATTGCTGAATGGCTGGATGTAAAGTCAAGACATGGCATTGTGGATCTATCCTTCCCCCTGGCCTCTGAAGCACACCTTGGGGATTATACCATCTCAGTGCAACAAGACATGGCTAAAAAAACCTTCACTGTTGCTGAATATGGTGAGACTTGGACAACAGAGGTGAGGGAAAAGCAGTGTGGGCAGCTGGAGAAGAGAGCAGGGCGATGAGGCCATGTTCGTCAGACCTTTTCCCCAGGGGAACGGCAGACTGGGGACAGGGACAGACGGGTTTGTGCACACATCTCACGCTGGGCTGGAGGTTCTGCAGCTGCATAGGGTATGAAGCAGAGGATGTCAGCAGAGGCTGGGGTCTGACATCTCGTTCTAGCTGTAGCTGGGCCCTGTGATCAGCATTTTCTGCTGCTCATTGTCACCCTCTTCTAAGCTAGGTTTACTAACCACTCCAGTCAGCTGCTATAATAGGAAGCAGTATCACGTCTTAGTCCCATTCTGATGTGGTGAGGTAGGTAAGGACAATGCCCTGTGCCATTTAAAATGTTAATGGCTGACTGAGCCGGAGTAGAAAGAAGATCCATCTGCAATTGCAGCAGCAAGTAGAGGGTGGTGTGGCTGGAGGGAGCAGCCCCTGTTGCAGCATGGTGGTGAATAACTGGGGACATTACCGATTTTCCCCCCATCTGGACTGCAGCTGTAACAGGACTTAGTCAATGTCCATACTCTGTATTGCTTTTTTTCCTCCATCCTTATCTTCCTCTCTTCTATGCAGTGCTGACAAAATTTGAACTAGATATTGAGCACCCTCCATTTATCACTACAGTGGATGAGGAATTTCAGCTGAAGGCCTGTGGCAAGTGAGTACCTGATACCGTTGTTATCGCTGGCCTTTGACTCCACACTCACCCCCAGATTGCCCATAGCCGAGAAGTGGCCTTCCAAGTGTGATGTGCCTGCATTACCCCGTCTTTGGGGGAGACAGATCACTCTCTGGAATGGGCTCCTTCTCGCACCTGGTCATTTACTGTGAGGCTGAAGGACACTAAGGATGCTGGGCATAATGGGTGGAGAGGGATGCAAACTGATCTTAAGGCATGAGCTGAAGTTCCTGAGCTGACAAGGTGCAAAGCACTCCCAAGCTCCCCTTCCCCTCGATGAGGGTGGGTCAATATTTTGGCTGAAGCAGCCAGACTTCAGGTGGATGTTTCTTCCCTTTGACACAGGTATACCTATGGGAAGCCTGTTCAAGGGAAAATAGATATTGCTTTTATCACATTATCAGAGTTGTTGGAAGGCAATTTAACAACTTCTACTGAGACAAGGAAGCAAAGCAGCCAGGTAGGTGAACAAATAGAAGAGTGGAAAGAATAACCTGCTGGAAACGTATGTCTGTCTGCTTAACTTGCCTCAATGCACCTCTGACGTGCGCCAACATGTTTAGTCTGGTGTCTTCCCACTTGCTAGACCTGATCAGACCATTGAATCCTCTTCCTGTGACTCCATTGCTTGAACTGTTGCTCTAGCTGCCCATATCTGACTCGGTGTTTCAGGGCAAGGTGTAAGCTCTGTGTAAGTAATGATGCCTGGGGCCTTTCCCAAGGGTCTGTATCGTATTGTATGCAATCAGATCACTGGTCTGTTCAGTCCTGTGACTGCTCCTCCCACCAACAAATGGGCTTTCAGAGCATCAGATGGTCTGTGGCTTCATGTCCTGTTTCTTGCTATATCCACGCAGTTAATGGATCATCTTAAGCTTGCTAGTGTCCTGTTTGAGGTTGTGTCCCGTGCTGGTTACACTTTCTGCCCATTTGTGTTCACTATAGGTTTGTGGTTAAGCTCCACACTTGGTTTTTCCCATGGCTTTCAGATGCAGCTCATTCAGCCTGTAAGTCACAAGAAAACATTTCTGAATGTCAGATCAGCCAGCAACAAGCCAGAATAGAAAAATCCAGCTGGATCTCTGCATCTTTCAAAATGCACCCAGTAGCAAAATGCCTCCAGCTGGAATGCTGTACGGTCTTAGCTGTGCAAAACAACAAGTGAAGAGCAGTTCCCTCTCACATGACATGGCAGAGGCCCTGCAAGGTTCTATGGAGAGCTTAACAGGCACAACTAGAAACACTTTGTCCACCTCCCCTCTCTGGCAGACTGGCTGTACCTAGTCTCTGCCTTACTGCTCGGCAAAGCTCTTGCAATCTGTAACTGTCTGGATGCCCTTGTTTAACACGGCCACGTCACAGAGGTGGTCATGACTGGAAAGCCACGCTGTAAGGTTTTATTCATCCGGGCCATACAGTTTCATGGAGAAGGTTACCTTCAGCTCAGGTAAAGACACTCATGCTCTTGCAGCTGTAGGATCTGGGCTTAAACCAGTCTCCTGGGTTTGTCTGTGACAAAATTAACCCTTACATGATTTTGCTGAAGCACTTTTTTCTGCCACTTTTTTGGTGACTGTTTAATCCAAGCATGTTGATTTTCTTCTCTGGCTAAGGTATCCATGATGGGTTTCTGCAGTTATAGGTTTTCGAGCTTCCATCTGTTCCACAAGTATTTGGAAACCCTTCTTTAGGATTGCCCAGCATCTATGGAACAGTTCATCTTCCACCACATCATGCTCTTTCTCTCTGTTCATATCTATCTTTCTGCAGACAAACAAGAATGGCTGCGCTACTTTTACAGTGAAGACAGAGACCCTGGAAGCTGACAGCTACATAGCTGTGGTGGGACAAATGGTGGAAGATGGAACAGGTACTGGGGAATATGTGAAGCATTCTCATCCTTGAAGGCAACTTCTTTGGTTTTGGCCTTTCTGCAGCAGTTGAATTCCTTTTGAAAAAGTAACTTGAGGTTTCCCAAGTCTTTTGACGTGATAATGGTCACTAGATAATTCTAGTAACTCTTCCATCAATTATTACCAGATTTCCTAATCCTCTCGAGCCTTCATCTCCACTAGCACGTATGTAACATTTTAGCCATTGCCTGGACATAACGGTGTTCCTCAGCCAGTTGCAAAGCCCTGGATAGCCACGGAAAACTCTGCAACAAGCCCTTGCAGTCCTTGCTAACTGTAGTGCACCATCCTGATAGGCAGTCTCTACCCACAGTCTCTTGTCCTCTCTTTTCCTGAGCCTGAGGCAGGGCTGCTTATGCATGCTCCTGCTGCAAGGAATGCCATTCTGCTTCCTTCTAGTCTGACACAATACTGACTATAAGAAGGTAGGTTTTCAGTATCAGTGTTAATGTGCACCTAGATCTGACAGCTGGAGGTGTCCATTGTTCAAACTGCCGCACTATGAGTGGGGTCCTTCAGGCCACTTTTAAGCATCTACAGTGTAGCTGTCTGTAACTAAACACACATCTAATTTCTCTTTATCTTCTTCAATAGAGAGAAATAAGTATAGGGTACCATGCACCATGTTACAAAGCAGAGGGCCCAGAAAGGTTGAGGGAATCATATCCTAGAAGAACGTATTTTGTCTCCCAAATTTGGAGTTTGTAGATGTTGTAGGTAGTGTTGAAGCATCTTCTTGGGTTCCGCTTCCCTAAGAGCACTGCTAGGGTTTAACAGATTTCTCATCTCTCCTCCCAGGAGCAAATACTGTGGAGAAGGCTGTAATTCCTATTGCGTCGAGAACGAAGTCTATAGAGTTTATCAACCTCCATTTATTCTACAAACGTGGACTACCATACACAGGGAAGGTAACACCCATGGATGCCTTCTTTGCCGAGCATACTGCATAGGTCTAATCATCTGTAGGCAGAAAGCAATAATCTCCAGGAAAGTAAGTGCTGCTTTGCTGGTACCCAGCAACTACGAGGGAAGCCTCCTGCAGAAGCAATTTCTTCTCCCCATCCTAACCTATTATATTCCCTGGACAGGAGTTTTGGGGCCAGTTGCAGTCTCTAGAGGCTTCCCCAGGAGCAGCTCCTGAAACTAGTCTGTGCAGTAAAAGGCATATGTTATGGGGGTGGCATCAGCAGGGAAATAACATTACTTTTGGACAAATGCTCATGGTAGCTTGGCAGAAATCACTGAAGCCTTGTACATCAGTTCACTGGCAGTCATTTCTGACTCAAGTCCCCTGGGTGATGCTAGGACTGCTGTCACATTGGGACTACAAATGCTTTCACCTGGGCCAGTATAACCCAAACATGAAGGAGGGCAAGGAACAGCAAGTATTAAGTTTGCTGGAGACAAGACTGTTTCTGATTGTCAAGGATCCTGCATCATTGTCCAAGAAAAACCTCAGGATGTGAGGAAATCACCTTTTTTCCCCCAATACACTTGGCTGCACTACCATTGATATCTAGTCCTGAACAGCTGCACATTGTTGGTTTTGTGTATTTATTGGACTTTTATTTGGATCCTTCCAACCTGTCTGAAACCTAGAAGGTCTGAGAAAGCCCAGTGATAGAAACAACCAATATTAAGTACTGGCAGTGCCTTGGAGCGTGCCACAATGAGGTAGTAACTTCCTCCCCTTCTCTGCAGATGTTCTGCCACAGTGGCAATTCTCCCCTCAGAAATGAAACAGTCTACCTAACAGTTGACATCAATAATGAGGAGACACACCTGTCATTCCTCACAGATGAGAATGGGGAAGTCCACTTCTCGCTGGATACCACCAGCTGGAACAGCACACTGGTTTCTCTGAAGGTGAGCATCAGCTACAGACAAATGAGGATAAGCTGAAGGTAGACTGAGAAAACGGATAGAAAGTGGAAGAAATCTGAGGTTTCAGAGCACAGCCCTCTGGCTCCTGATCTCATTTGACTGTATCTGTAGAAGCGTCTTTAATTACTCTCTAGTGTCGTCTCCTCAGGGAAACTGGAGGCTGTGCTGCAACAGTTCAGTCAAATGGCCACCAAGGTGCTCTGCTGTCCTGAGCTGGAGCGTGATCCTAGTCTTTTGTATCCCCTCTCACCTTCCTTTGGCTCCACTAAAATAGTCTGTTGATCTGAACACTTCCTCAGAGGAAATTTTCTCTTTCTCCACTGGGGACACATTGAACTAGCAGGTGATGCCTGTCTTTGTTGAAGTCTGTTTCCAGTGGCTGCCCTCACCCTGCAGAAGCACATAGCTTGTCCAGGCTCAGCTTGGAAGGTAGCTCTTGACTGCCCTTTCAATACCAGACCTTAAAGCACTCGGTGGCTTCCCCTTACAACTCCTAATCCTACACCTGAAGCTTGTTGTTACCCATCTTCCTACTATCTGCTTTCCTGCCACTGATATGGGATTCATGCCCAAGAAGCACAATCTCCTATTGCCACCCATTTCTCAGAGACTGGAACTATTTTTCCAGATATTTTACCCTGAGACTCCAGTCTACCCCCATCTACCCATGGTGAGGTTCCCTAATTTTCCTTGGGCTGGGTTTGGTGATCGGAGGGTCTGTAATCTGGGAGCTAGATTTCTGACCCCAATGAGCCTGAAGACAGGCTCTAATTCTTGTTCCTAGGCCCATGGCTAATGCCCACAGAGCCCTAAATCCTCTGCAGAGAAGTAGAGCTTCACCATACAAAAGCTAGTTTGGTGCCTGTTGTGCTTCAGGGCATCTGACCAGAAATGCAAACTGAAAACAGTGAGGTGCTGTGTTGGGGTTAAAGTCTGATGTGGAGTGTGTCCCTATGGAAAGATGGAGGAAAGAAGGAAAAATGAGACTGTGGGCAGACTTACTAGACTTAGATTTTTGCTAAAACTTTGGAAGAGAAAGTCTCATAAGAGACTTTAAAATGCCATTTAAACAAAAGAATATTTTCAGCATAAGAATGTGTGGTCTGTCATCAGCTCAGGTAATAACTTAGTGCTTACAGCAGGTGTACAAGCTCCCTTCTGTCACTTGGTACTTCTTGCCAACTCATGTTTTGTGCTCTTAAGGGTACCTACAATCTTGGAAATGATGATAATCAGGATTCTTCTGAAAGTCACACAGAAGTTGAGGATAGCTTCCACTGGCTGAAACTTTTCTACTCCGAGAGCAACAGCTTCCTTGAGATCAAGGCCAGGGATGATGTGATACCCTGTGATCAAGAGCAGGAAGTGCAGGTGGATTATATCCTTGACGGGAACAAACTCAGCTCTGAAGGAGACCACATTGATTTCTACTACTTGGTGAGCACAGAAGACAACTGAATCTCAGAGCGAGATGATGCTTACTGGTATTTTACCCTTTTCACATAGCACGTAGACACTCATGGGAAAGGGTAAGATACTCCCAGGCCAGTATAAGTCAGTCTGTGAGTTCCATTCTGCCCAAACATCCTTGTTTTCCAGTTTCTGGACCTGCTCCTAGCCCCCAGCTGCTCTGCTTTTTTAGGAGTGCCTTGACCTAAGCTTGGGTGGTAAATGCCTGCCAGTCACCCTACTTTCTATTATGTTCACATGGGTGGCAGTGGAGGGCTAGCCTGGTTTCTGCCCAGCAGGTATGCTTCAGACTTCCATCTGTGTCTGGGGCAACCTGTCTATGACCTAGGAGGCAATCTCTGGGGCAGCTGACCTCCTCTGACCTGCATCTTTACAGGAAAAGGCTTGAAATTGCACGGGGCCTTGATGCACTCCAGAGGTATGTAATCCTGTTTTGATGAAGTCCACTTTCAAGAAAGTGAGTCCAAAGCAAGCGTGTGACTACAGCCTAGCTGAGAGGTCGTGAGTATCTTGGTTACTGAGCTGGGCTTATTCATACAGTCAAAGAAGTATTGTATCCTAGTAATGTGAAGATCAGAGTTCACTGAGGCTTAAGAGCAGCTGCTCTTAGCTTCAGATGGACCTCTGGTTTTGCAAGTGGCCACATCTTCTCATTGCCTAACCAACACCTCTCAAGTCCCTCCCCAGCTATGCTATCACCATCTCTGCTGTAGAGCTCTTTAGGTCATGTCCTGCCAGAGGAGCTTCTGTGACATCTGTCAGACATCCTTCTCTCTTCTCTTGTTCTTTTCCTACTCTCCTCATGCCTTCGGAATTCAGGCCCCCTTCTCTTTGCTCTTCAGGTGATATCAAAAGGCAAGATCCTTTCCAGTGGAGAGAAGCAGGTGCCTGTTCTCCAGCACGAGAGTGAGTAGAATGGCATGAATCTAAGTGCCTTGTAATGCAGTTTCTGCCACTGTTATTCTTATCCAGAAGCGGAAGCTATTGAACTAAGTTCCTCATGGTGGTCCACCTCATTAGACCAACACAATCTCGTCTCATATCAGTTCATTGTTATTCTAGGTGACTGTCCTTCTCCTGCCTTGTCTAAGTGATCTAATATCCAAGTTTATGACTTTACTGCTAGCTTGTATCTTTGGAGAAGATATAAAATTTGTGCAGCTTGCCTGTTTACCTAAGGCACAGCAGGGAAGAGGAATATTTTTGCTAACTTTGAGCCAAAGAAGTGGTCAGTATCCTGGGCTTATTGTTAATCTGTGTCAGTGTCTGTTTGGGATGTTATCTACAGGTAGAAATCATTAAATTCCCTCTTTTGATTCTTACTGTGTGTCCTATCCCAATAAGATGATCCAGTTGAATGCCTTCTCCCTCTTCCTTGCTGCTATCCCGTGCAGATCTGCAGGGCTCCTTCTCATTGACGCTGACAATTGGCAATGACTTCCTGCCTGACATCAAGCTTCTAGTGTATGCGGTCTTCTTGGATGGAGAGGTGGTGGCTGATGCGGAAGAGTTTCAAGTAGAAAAGTGCTTTAGACACAAGGTGGGTAGAAGCACAAGGAGTGTGAAAACATCAGTGATGTGCTCTGGCCTGCTGAGGTTCCTGGTCCTTTTTTATCCTCAGCCAAGTGTGGTAAGCTGGATACATGCCCAACCAGATGCCCAGTATTTTTGGCTGGGAAACAAAATAGGTAACCTCCTTCTTCCCTGAATTCCTAGTCCTGCTGTCCCCAATACTGACTGGCAAGCCTTTCCCAAGGAGTAAATCAGGTCCCCTTGAACTCTGTTTTCTACCCCCGTTCCCCATGACTGGCTTGGGAACACGCTGTCCCCCATGCTCTCCCTAACACAAAAGAGAAGCCCACATGCTGAGCTCCCCACAGTAGCTCTGGATCAGAGGGTGGCGGATGTGTGGTGGTAGGGGGATTCTGGCTGGGCTGTACACCCTGCAGCCCCAGGAACCCTCCCAATGGGTTTCCAGAAGGGCCTGTCTCAGCATCTCTGACTCCTTCCCTATCTTATTCTCTGTCTTCCCCTCTGCTGGCCAGACACTGAAGAGTCATAGACACCTAAGAGTCAGAGGGTCCCACTCACCAATGCCAAGCCCCCTGACTCTGTCTTCTTTCACAGGTGGTACTAGACTTCTCACGGAAGGAGGAAGTCCCAGGGTCAAGGGTCAGTTTGGACCTCAAGGCAGCTCCAGGGTCCCTGTGCTCCGTCCAAGCTGTTGATAAGAGTGTTCTCCTGAAGACCAACAATACTCTAACAGCAAACTCAGTGAGTGCAGCCTGCCATGACCAGTGTCTGGCTGCTTCTGTCTCCATGCACTGGTGGGAGGAAGCCCAGAGTCCACCCCAGGACACAGCTTCAGTGTTTGATGACTGCTCTGGCAGTCCCCCTCTTTGGCCTCTTCTGAGCAGTTATGGAGTGATCATGTTCCTCACGCATCAGCCCTGCACTGTGGGCCTCTGCCTGGGGAGGGCTTGTCCTGCCCCACTCAGTGGGTTAGGGGAGGTGAGCTTTTTCAGTTCTCTGCATGGTACCCAGGAGTCACGAAAATGACCCAAGAGGCTTGACTGAAAACAAAGCTTTACTTGGAATTCAGTGAGATCACAAAAGATGGTAACTTTGCAACTTTATAACGACATTACTTTTAATGTGGTGGAGTTAGAATGGATATTGATTTGGCAAAACTTACAAGAAACTGCAAAATATATCAGACTGACAAACTTAGAACAACATTACCCTTATGTGCCTGGAAAGTCAGAGATAGAGAAAGAGAGGGAAACAAAAGGAAAAATAAGAGAAAAGATATCACCACCCTTGGATCCAGCAACGACTTCTGCTAGTGGTCAGGGTCCTCCGGTGGTGAGTGTGTGCCAAGGAGCTTGATTTCAGGGCTGCACAAGCCTGGGTGCTCAGTAGTTTCCGACAAATCAAGCGCACTTTGGCTAACATGCAGTAAACGTACATTGCAAGCAAAAGTTATCGGTACTTTTACAGTTATGCTTAATCACTCTCGTTTCCCATTGGTCCTTACATGTCTTGTCTCTGTTTAAAGGCGCAGCACCCTCCCCTTCTGCTGCACATGTTCGGTGAATAAGGGTCTTTGCTTGGGCCAGGGTCTCCAACTCAGGGGGTGTGATTTTTGGTACTATAATGAGGGTAGTTCAACTAAGGGTACATGAATTCTCAGTTCTGCTGCCAGGTTTGCAGCAGACAGAAAACATTCTGATTAACTCCCCTCCTCAAGGTCCAGCTGCTCCAGCATATCCTTGCTTACAGATACCAAGTGCTTGTTCTTCTGACAGGGAGCCATTCAGTGTCCTCGGCTGAGCAGCTCTGTTGCCCTAAGATGTTCCTTACCTGGAACACTGGCTGCTATTCAGCAGCCATTAGTCAGACTGTTGTGCTTCCTGCTCAAAATGGGTTGGTGAGTTTGGGGAGTCTTGGTGGTCTCACACCACCCCCCCGCAAGACTGGCCACAGCCTCGTGCAAGTGTTTAACTTCCTTGCCCGATTTAAGAGTTTGCTTAATTCAAGGGTCTCTGCCTCTGCTTCTCCAGAGGGATGTTTGAGACAGTTGTTTGCTTTGGTCAGGGGCTGCACAGGGGCGGACGCTGCCTGGCACGGCAGGGAGAGCAGCTTCAGAGAGATGCTGGTGCCTTCAGCTTGGACAAAGAGTGCTTAGCAGCTTTCCTCACATCCACCTGCCTCTCCGCTCACCTGTCCTCCACCCAGCCATGAGGCTAAGCCTTTGAGCCTGAATTTTGCCCCAGCAGGGTTCTCCCATCCCTCTGCCCCAAGCATGGCTGAGTTATAACCATACGACAGATCAGGCTGCCCACCTGAGCAGTTCTCTGCAAAACAGTAGCTCGGGAACAGCACGCAGCGCACGCAGTGGCTGGTGAAAAGTGGCCAGGATTTTGTCGGTACCCAGGTGCATTCTGAGACTCTACAAGGGTTGAAGGAAATTACCTTAAAGCAGCTGTGTGTTTCAGAGGAATGAACTTAAGACTTCAAACAGAAATACTGCAAGAATTGACAACCCTAACATTGCAAAATGTATACCAGAGACAATGCACATGTATATGCCTCCTTCAAAGTTGTAAATTAAGTCGTAGCAGGCCAGACTGTTACAAAGAAGCCTCACCAAATCCAGGGGAACTCCATGTTCCATTCCACAGGAATGCTGCTCTACCGCAGAGCACTTGAATCATCTCCTAACAGCTATATAAAGTAGTAACCATTAAATATGTAAGTCAGATGCGCCAATGCCTTGTGCTCAGATGAAATCGTGTGTTTTTATCCTAGTCTTGCACCCCAGAGTTAAAAGGCTTGAACTTTCAGAGGTGAAAGACTGCAGACTAAAAACTACTTGCCTACATCCACTCCTTGGGCTTCATGTCCTTCAGTATAAGTTGGGCCAGTGCCGACTTCCTCAACTGCAAAGCTTTACAAAGCGTAACGGCTGTCTGCGATCCAAATATCTGACCCATAGACAGTTGGCCAGTTCCTTGTGAAGACCTCTGTTTTTCCATTGCAGCTGTATGAGGAGGTCTTTGATGACAGCTTTACGATTGGAGGACGAGGGTTCCCTTATCACCTGGAAGACTTTGAGGCATATCCTTGTCTGCCCCAGCAGTCCAGTCTCAACAAAAAGACTCAGATGGGAGGACCATGGTACCAAAGTGATGCTGACGTCTTTAATCTGTTTAAGGTGAGTCTCTACACTTGCTGCAAACTTTCCCTGAGCCAGCAGTTGCCAGTATGCCATCCTGAATGCCTACAAGAATTTACTCTTAGTAAACTTCAGCTGCCCTGACTTCCACTGCTACAAATCATCTGTGCCTTGTTCTTCAGTGTAGGCACCCTCACCTGGGGACTACGGGGAAAGATAAAACTTACGAGTAAGCATAGTGCAAATCATCTGTTTAGAGAAAGACAGTGTAAAATTTAATAGACTTAGTTTAGGCTACAATACCTACAACAAAAGGGGACTGGCAAGAATATCCCAGTCAGACCTAAGCACCTCACCGTATTTTGACTGATTGCTGTTTGGCTATTAGATTATTTGCAAAATTCTTTACTTTGTGTTTCAGAGAGTCTTTTCTTACTTCTCCTATAAGCAGTTTTAATACAAAGAAGTCCTTCACAATTTGGCTTTAAAGCTGTCAAAACAAATGACAAAATAAGCTAATATCTGCTAACAAGCACAATAGCCAGATAAAGATCAATAACATGCCTGCTAACCGAAACCCAAGCAAGTGCTGCTTCTGACAGAATGCTGTTTAAAGAAATATATGCAAGTAAAAGCATCTCAAAATAGGAAAAGAGGGTAACAACACACTGAGAACAACCCAAAACAGATTCTGAGTTGCATGGGCTTCTCAGGCTGACAGAACTCTGGCTTACAAACACAGACCCAATTCCCTCCCAAGGGTACTCTGCTGTCTTCCAGATGCTTAATCCCAGACTATGTCAGATGCTAGTTAAATGAGATCCCACTACATCTCACTTATTAGTGATCCTGTAACATATGACTAACGCCACAGGCATGTACATTCTTCACAGAAATAACGAGGGCTCATACTCTCCAGGAAGGGTTTTGGCACTTCAAGAAGGCTGAAGAGTTCTCAATGACTGCAGACCATTAAATCAAATCAAGGATTGCTAACAGCATCAAATGCGTTCTTTCGGTGTGATGATGTCTTCTGCTCAGTCCATGCACGTGAGGGTGCATTCAGTCCAATATTACACCCTTGTGAAGCATAGGCCCTGAGTCTCATTCAGTCAAAAGGAGAATCCATACTAAATTATGACTGAGTTCCCCATCAGTTTTCTAAGCCAGGACTGGTACTAACCTGTGTAAGAACAGTTGTGAGTGAACAGCCAGTCAGATCTTTCCATCCTAAAACTGTGCAGAGGTTTAAAGCTTAGAATATTTTTCTCTTAAGTTTTTCATGGGACATACACATTTGGCTCATTGTTAGGGTGAGGCATATGAAGGACAGACCTTATTGAAATCTTCTATTCTGAGAAGTAAGAATTGGCCCCAATACTCCCTAGAAGCTGGTTTCCATTCCTCAGCCATTGCCCGGAGTCTGAGCCTGTAAGTCTATGCATGTGTGTATAAACAAGCAGCGTTTTAAAGTGTTTCATCTACCACCAGTCCCCTTATAGTACCTGTTATCATGAGATATTTTCAACATTCATTGTTCCCTTTTATTTATCATTGATTTACTGTATTCGCTGTTTTACCAGAATTTGCGCATGAAGGTATTAACTAATACTAGAATCAAGAAACCAGTCTCCTGCGTACGACCAGACTTTGAGAAGAAGATGTATTCTGGAAAAGACAATGTTGTTGGTAAGGAACGGACATGTCTATCTCTTTGACTGCAGGGCTCTCCTCTCCCCGTTCTGTCCAGCCTGCAACTGAGATGGCTGACTTCCATCCTGCTGTGCTTCTTGTTTGTGAACAAAGCTTGTGACCAGTTCAATGGACCTGATTTATAAATCACAGCTAAAAGCTTGTACCTCTGCCCTTTATTGGCTGTCCCTGTGTTCTGCACACTTCACAGAAAATGTACCATGCTCTCCACCAGCACTTTCACAGATTATTTAAGAGTGTGCAACTCCTTTTGAGCTTGCTGTCTCCCTCTGGATCCAGACCAAACTTGCTGGATCTGTCAGACTAAGCCTCAGGCTAAACTCCATACAACTCTGTCTCCCCAAAGCTGTGTTCCCCATAGATGCAGACACTGTGTCAGATTATCACTGGAACAACAACCCTGTCCGCTCTTGTTCTGTGTCACAAAGCATTTACAGTTTGTGTTAGATTGCCTGTGAATGAAGGACTAATCCCACCTGTAGCTACATATGCTGTTTTCACTTGCTTTTCTGCAGAATATCACGTCAGCCATGGTGATTCTGCAGCTCCCTCTGATAACACAAAGAAGCCAAAACCACGGACTTATTTCCCAGAGACTTGGATTTGGGATTTGGTCTCCATTGGGTTGGTAACAGCCTCTACCTGCCTTCCCCAGAGAGACCCCTGGAGACTTCTAACTGCTGCTGAGCAAGTTCTCCTCTCTCTTTTCCTGCTGTAGGGATGAGGGGAAAGCGTCTCTCCAAGTTGCTGTACCTGACACCATCACAGAATGGAATGCCAACACCTTCTGTGTTGCCGATACTGGCTTTGGGTTATCTCCTCTGGCCACTCTCAGGGTCTTCCAGCCGTTCTTTGTAGATCTGTCACTGCCGTACTCTGTGATCCAAGGAGAGACTTTCCACCTAAAAGCCACTGTCTTCAACTACCTCAAGGACTGTATCCAGGTGGGTATCCCCCAGATCCCATAGCCTCTGTCAGAGCAAAAGCTTGAGGCCAGAGGCAAGCTGTGACCTCCTCAGGAGCCCTAGATACTGGCATCTGGGCCACAAAGCACAGCTTCGCGCTTCATGACCCATGGCGTTTGCTCCTTTGTGCAGTGCCTGGTACTAACACTATGCCAATGTGTGCTTGTACACCCCACCACACTCAGGTGCGCACCACCCTCACAGAGACCCCAGAACTAAAGGTGGATGCCTGTCCAGGCTGCCAGTTCACCAGCTGCCTCTGCGCCAACGAAGCAAAAACCTTCAAGTGGAACGTGACAGGCACCAGGCTGGGTGAGCTTGAGCAGAGGGGTGTGTGGCAGCCAGCCGGAGAAGGGGTGGGATTTGCCTGCCTCTTCGTGTCTGGTCCCGATGCCTGCAGGCACGGCTCTCTGCTACCAGTGCTCAGCAATGTGCCCCTGTGCTCCTTCTAGGCAAAGTGAACATCACCGTGAGCAGCGTGGCCGAAGATTCACACGATCTCTGTGGTAACAAGATTGCTGTGACACCTTTGCAAGGACAGAGAGACATAGTGACAAAACCTCTGCTTGTGAAGGTTAGTCACACCGCAGGGTGGAGAATACCTGGAGACAGTGGGTTGTCTCCCGAGGCAGTTAACAGGATGCTAAGAGGAAGTTTAGCCCCTTCTTCTTGGAAGCAGAGAGGTCTGCTGAGGCATGGTGACTTCCTCTCCTGCCTGCCCTATCTAACCTACTTTTTCTCCATCTGCAGCCAGGAGGTGTCCTACAAGAGAAGACCCAAAATGCCTTTCTCTGTGCTGCAGGTATAGGACAAAACTTCCTGACTGCTATTGATCACGAGAGCAGGATGAAAGGGACAGGGCTGCTGCAAATACCTGGGGAGGGGGAGGGGAAATTTGTCAAAGAGCAAGTGCTGGTGGCACCATCCCTGCCTGGGAGAACAACCACTATAGTTTGTCCATGTCTGTCTTCTACTTGGCAAAGTTTCCTGCATTGAGGCATTTGTCTGCAAGTCTCGGCTGCTGTGACTCTCTGTCAAGCTGAGCCTCACCTGGGTCTCCTTGGGATGTTACACTTGCACGTGATACTTCTTCCATGGGATAAATTTCTGGGTCCTGCCTTCCTCAGATAACACCGTCTCTGAAGAGTTCTCCCTGACGCTTCCTGCAGAAGTGCTGGAGGGATCTGGCCGAGCCACTTTCTCTGTGATTGGTGAGGAAGGCTTTCCCTGCTCTCGGGTCCCCAGTGGGAAGAGCTTGTACAACGCTTTGGCCTTAATGATGCATCGACCCTGTTCCTAATGAGATAAACTGCAAGGGGTGTGATGTTAGCCTCACAAATGTGGATTAAGTAATCTTTTTCAGTGTTTATTCCTCTCATAAGGAGTGATCCTGGGTGATCCCCAAGTGGCAGTATATCTCCTGTGATGTCTATCACTGCCATCCACTCAAGTGAACCAAAACCATCCCTGCAGATTTCCACCTAGTTTGCCTCTGTAAGTCTCTTCCCTCCTTGATACCCACTCAGGAATGAAAGTTCTCTTCACTTTTCTTCAGATTCCACTTCATCTTCACTTTCCCTCCACCCTCCCAGAATCATGGTGTCCCTTTCTGTGCTGGACTAATCCAGGAGAGGTCAGCAGAAATCTTCATCATCTCCATTCAGTGAAGGGTTCGCTCTTTCCAGGATCCCAGTAGAGTTTAGAGCAGGCAGCTGTCCCTTCGTTTCATACTGCTAAACATCTGTGCTTTTCCTTTCTCCTGCACCTCCACCTCAAACAGGGGACATCGTGGGCCCAGCCCTTCAAAATTTAGACCAGCTGCTAGAGATGCCCTTTGGCTGCGGTGAACAGAACATGGTTCAGTTCGCACCCAACATCTTCATACTCCAGTGCTTGAATAAGACTAAACAACTGGACCCAGAAATTGAAGATAAAGCACTGAAATTCCTGAGAACAGGTAAACATTGTCCTTCTTTCTGCTGCAAAATGGAGGTGCTATAAATGAAAAGCGTGGGGCGCTGGCCTGGTGGGGAGGTTCAGGGCAGGAGTGGGAGCTCTGCCGGGGCTGTGACAAAGGAAGGTATCACAGAGAATAAGGGAAATGTCTCACGGAAGGAAAAGCATGTTTCTGAAGAAGCGGGACTTCCGTCTCTGCCTATTATTGAGGTACTAAGCCTGCTTTCCTGAGAAGGGTGTGGGTAATTAAAGACCTCCATCACTACATGATACCTGTGGTTTGTTCCCCTATCGGTCCAAGGCAGATCGAAGTCCCTTGTGGAAACAGCGCATCAGCTGCTATTAATTGGAAAAAAGAGTGGCTTTTGGGGACAGATACGAGTTTAGTAGCTTAGTGTTTTCCTGTGTTTCAGGACACGTATTGTGGGGGCACGTCATCTCTGTCCAACAAAACCTGAGGTTAATACAGTGCCAGTGTCGTCTGTGTTTCATTTTGCAATGTGACTCACACTCCAGCCTATCAGTCCCCTTATCCTGCTACGCTGCAGACTCAGCAGCCTCCTATGGATAGGATTTTACTTCCTCTCCTTCCTCCTTTCTCTCCTGTACTGCTAATTAGGACAGGTATCTGGGAGAGGGGGGCATACCCAAGAGAATGGCAGCAGCACAGGGGTAAATTCTGCCCTTGGAGCTTAAAGGCATGGCTTTGTCGCTTCCTGTATGTCCCATAAAAAATGCTTTCTTGAGTCCTAACAGTGCTAGCAGAAGTGCTGAACAATAGAGTTTCATATCGGTCCCCTCTAGGAAAAGCCTTGCTCCTCACTCCTACAACAGTTTTATTCCCAGCAAGGTGCCCGGGAGGGTTCCCAGGGGCACAGGGACACGAGGTGGGTAGTGTGTCACCGTTCTGCAAACCAGCAGGGCAGATACCCGTGGTGCTTGCACGTAGCAGCCCCGGTAACGTAACATGGGTCTCTGCAGGAACGCTGCACCACTGCTTCTTGTCACGCTGGTGACGTGGGATGTACGGCGAATTGTGGGGGGGTAGGTTTGCCTCTGTGACTCTGACTGTAGGACCTGGTGAAGTCTCTGGCTGTGAAGCTTTCTTCCCGCAGCGAAGATACAGTTTGAGATGCTACAGGCACTCACACTGAGAATTGTGTCCTGGCACTCATCTTCATAGGTTACCAGCGTCAGCTGCTCTACAAACATGATGATGGCTCCTACAGTGCCTTTGGGAAAGCTGACAACCAGGGCAACACATGGTGAGTGACCAGAGTTGGTACTGTCATCCCAACCCATTTGTCCTTGCTGGTTCAGCTCCGGTCTGTGACATGGGATTCCTTTGTGGTCTTCCCACAGGCTGACAGCCTTTGTAGCCAGGTCCTTTGGACAAGCCAGCTCTCATATTTACATCAATAAGGATCATGTGCACAACGCTCTGCTCTGGCTGCAGAAGCACCAGCTGCCCAGTGGCTGCTTCCAGAGTGTGGGGAAGCTCTTCAACAATGATTTGAAGGTATGGCTGGCAGACACGGGAGTGTGAGGAACACAATGTGGGGTACAGGGTTGCTTCCCCAGGCTATTCCACTGTGCACAGTAGCACAAAGCAACGTCCCCATGGCCTAGAGGAGCCCAGGAAGCTTCCCAGAGCAGAATGAAAAACGTAGCCTAAACAAGCAGGAATTACCCTAGCCAAACAGCACCATGGCTAATTGTGCCAAGGCACTTCAAGGGCACAGGGAGAAATATTTTTATATTTTAGTGCTTGTCTAGAATATCCTGGCTGGATTCTCCCTCTTTTCATGCATTGCAATGCACAGTACTCTCCAGATGACAGGCCTGAATATGTGCTCTCATATGAGCTTATCTGAAGATACAGTTGTCCCTCCACCACCCAAAAAGTATGACTTCTTCTGGAGCCTGGCATCCCCAGAATGATCATAGAATCACAGAATCACGGAATCATTAAGGCTGGAAAAGACCTCGAAGAGTGTAGCTGGAAATGCACCACCCTGTTGGTGAACATGTCCTAGCGCTCAGGTACCAAACAGTGTGCATGAGGTACAGCAATACTTGGGTTCATTGTCTTTGTAAAGGTAAGAATAATCCAGAATGGTCAGATTGCAAAGTCACCCATATTAAATACAAGGCAGGTTTATGAAAGAAAACAGGCTGCTATTTTAGCAAAGCAAAGGGTTACACATTTTTCCTTAAAATTTGGATGCAGTATGAAACAAAACCAGTGTACATGTACACTGTTCTTCCTTGTCTGACTCTCACGAATTTCTAAGCTTGGGCCTGCTATTTGAACAGAACTTTTTGGCATAGGTTTTGCCACCACCCCTTGCACTTCGAAGTTTTTGCTATTCACTGTGAATGATGCTTCTCAGCATCTCAGCCCAGATTGCCCCTTCATTTTAGATGTACTCTTGTCTCATGTCTGAGGATTCCCCAAGAAGGAATGTCCTCTGATGGGAAAAGACCTGTTCAGCCATATTAACCTGTAATTTTTCAGTCAGCTGAATTGTAAGTAAACTTGCATTGCTTCTTGTGTGTAAATCCTGCATCATAGAAACTTTGTTCAAGTGTCCAGCTGTAACATATTTAATGAAATAGCATAACAATTTGCCCTTCTACAAGAAGGCACACCTAGGCTGCATGCACAATACGCCTCTGAGGCTCCCCTCAACACCAGACTTTCACGATATTCAGTAAGTGAGACTGGAGTGCTTTCCTTCAGTCCACACATGTCCAAGAATGCCCAGAGGCATGCCACTATCCCCTCTGCCATCCATAGGCAGTCTCAGTGGCTATACGATGTCAAGCGAGCAAAGGTTTTGCCCTTTTCTGATGTTTGTCTGTGTGACTTGCAGGGTGGTGTGGACGACACAACCTCATTAACAGCCTATATCACTGCTGCACTGGTGGAGCTCCACCTGGAGAAGAATGTAAGTCACATCCGAACACTTGCAGGGCTTGGGAGCACGCTCCCCCCTCCATTCCTCCCCAGGTCTGTGCTTTCAGGGAGTACCTGGCTTGAGTTGGTGAAAGGTTCTGTCATGTCCCACCCGTGTACACAATAAGCTCAATAAGAAAATTTTAACTTGGTAAGGAGTGCTTATAAATGGCCTGACTTGCAGCAAAGCAGAACATCTGTCATTCCCAACTGATTTCAGGAGAAACAATTGTCTCTGAAAATGGCTCAGGGCTTGCAGGGAGAGGCAATAGTTTTCATTAAACTGACCAATATGGCTAAAGGAGAAAAAACCCCACCACCTTTCAGGTATGCAGCGCCCACCTCCTCCTTCCTTCAGACCTGAAATAAAAGCAGTGATCTTTAAGTCAAGTGTAGACTGTTCTAGCCACGATGGGCTGATCTTCCAGCCTTCTTGGCACAGTTCTGAGAACAACGTTGTACCTCCCCTCGGGAGCTGAGACCCACAGCATGCAGGTCTGACAGTTCTGAGCCAGCGTGCTACCAGACACCTCACACAGCCGGATTCTCCAGTGTGTTAACAATCCCCTGTCCCAGTGATACTTCTGGTCACGTCTTTGTTTTCAACCCACAGTGAGTGATGCTTTGTCCACTCTACTTCATGCTCCACAGCCCTGAGAGAGATTCTAGCACTGAAATACATCAAGGATGTAGCTGGACGCTTGAGGGGTGGGGATAGATTTTTGCAACAAAAAGTGGTCAGAGGAGATTCTCTGGGTTTGGATTCCTTTCTCAGGACACCATGCTGGATAATGCCCTCCATTGCCTCAAGAATGTAACTCTTCATAACACAAGCCTTTATGTCAAGGCCTTGATGGCTTACGTCTTCACACTGAGCAAGGACATGGAGATGAGAGAGCAGCTCCTGAGTATGCTAGAGAAGGAAACTGGTAGGTTGTTGCTGTTTAGAAGATTTTTGCGTTGTAGAGGTAATGACTGTGTTTAAGGACTGATATTTGTAGGATTTAATTGCAGTGGTTTGAGAAATTTAATTATTCTCAGATTGGCTTTTGTGTCAGAAAATGTTAATTTATTGAAGCTGTGAAAGTCTCTAGCTTTCTAAGACCCAGGAAACAACTTCTTATCAAAAGCAGCAGAGGTGATCCAAGCTTAATTTGTGTGGTCAAAGTACTCACTTGAGTTGCAGTGCTCCCGTCATTCTTCAGCAATTTATACATCGTACAAGAGATCTTTCAGAGGAAACTTGCTTCACCATGTTTATTCAGATGCTGCTCAGGACATTTACTTGCAGAATTCAAACCTTTTGACTGCTTCCCCATTGCTGCTCTACTCAGCTCAGGGCCCTTGGGTGGATGCATCTTTGTTGCTGTGCTGCTGAGCTTGGCTTTTCCTTTTGTCTCTTTAGCTTGGAAAAAAATGGACTTCTATCCTGAATGAGGATGCCAGGTGGGGCTTTCAAAGCACCTAAGCCTATGGTTAAACAGTTGGCAACAATATTACCTGATTTGGCTTCAGTAAGTTCCCCCCCACATCTGTTCATCTGGCAGTATGGTGAACTACTTTGGGGACTGAAAAGTAACACTGAAGAAAAAAGGGAGAGGGGATTTTTCAGCCTGACCAGCTACGAGTACAGAGTCCAGTCCACTGCACAGCCACCCAGTCTGCCCAGCTGGCTTCACAGGGTGGCTAGTGGGCAAACTGGAAGGAGCAGAATTGCACACGCTGAGCGCAATATTTTTTCAGAGCTGCCTCTCAGGTAGTACATATGGAACAAGGGACTGGAGCACATCCTCACTGATGTCCAGTCAATCTGATGCTTCTAACTCACCATGCACTTTGGAAAATGTCTCCTTCAAGCCCTAGGGCATGGAGCACTACAAGCCGCCTGCGGGGTCAAGTGATTGGTAGCTTTCTTTGGCTCTTGCTTCCAGTGATAATAGTTAGCAATGACTTGGCAAGGGCAGTGGAGTGGAAAGTGAGGGAAAGGTGTTGTGCTACACGTTTAAATGTGTCTGTGTTCTGCCTGCTGAGTCTGAGGATGCGCAGCCGGTCTGCTGGAGAATCTCTGCCAGAAAGGATTATCTTCTGCTGGCTAGAGACACCTGCCATGGCCTGGTGGATGGGACTCTGGTGGCCTTGCTAACAGGATTGCAGTTGGATCTCAAACAGGACTTCGGTGCTTTTTAAAGAATCAAGATTAATCTGTGGGTCATCTGTAGCTGCATCTCCAAGAAATCTTCTACCACGTCACGAAAAAATTGTTCTGCTTATGTCACCTTGGAAGTAACAAATCACAAATCCTTCATGCAAAAACCTTCCATTGTGATAAATATAATGAAGTAATGCCAGTCCATAGAGTCACTGAGCTAAATTCTGAAGTCTTTATGCTGGTTTTATGCAAACAAGTGATTTTGTGATTCTTATTTCAAAAGTGAAGCTTTGTTCTGAAAACTGAATTTTTTATTTAAAAGCGTTTCATGTTGTCACCTTTGCACCATTGCAGAAGATGTCTACACTGTACAATTAAGCTAAATTCTTAGCTGAATTTTGTTTAGCCACCTTCTATCTTTACAACAAAACATTCAACCAGACTCAGATGCATTCAGTGCCTGTGAGCTTGGACCATAGGTGGGAGGCCAGCTCTAGCTTAAATTGTCCTAGCCTATGCACTGCATAGTGAGGATGCCAACAAAATAAGTCGGGTAGTCTTGCTCCTCTAGTAGCCTGCCAGCAATCCTCTCCCAAAGAGTGACCAGTTCTTGTACTATAGATACAACTGAGTGGAAATGAGTCCTAGAGGTTCTCAGCACAGGGAGCCCTGTTGGACTATCCTAGCCAAATGCAGAAATAGCAAAAAAGCTGTAGCCTGGGGACATAGCTTTGAATATGCACAGAGCTGAATAGGACTAGGACTGTACTTTAAACAAAAAGCCTGTGTTCAGAGGTCATCAGTTTCTAGGGGAACTGTTTCCTAGAGGAACTGGTTGAGGATTTGGGGCCTGGACCTCTCTGTGCTTTCAGTGGAAGAAATCAAGCCAACCGTAGATGGCTGGCCCTTCAGAGTACAGAAGCAACAGGAGGGATTGGCTTCTGCACTCTGAGGCGCCCCAGAAAGGCACGTGCATTTCTGATGGTGCACAGGAAACTGCCTGTCCTCGAAGGGTACCAGGGCAGGAGAAACTAATGCTCATAGGGATCTACTATTCTCCTCTTCCACGTGTTTCTCCCCCATAGCAGAGCTCCTGACATCACATTCCAGTAGTGAAGAATCGTCTTCTTCTGTGATTGAGACAGTAGCCTACATTCTCCTGGCTCATGTCTCCAAACCAGACTTGGCACCCAATGAAGCCTCAGTGAGCAAGCTTGTGCGCTGGCTCAGTGGACACAGAAATGCCTTTGGTGGATTTGCTTCCACACAGGTAACAAGCCGGGGAAAGTCATGGATGAAGGAGAGAGATACTGTGCCTGGAATGATGTGCATGTCGCTCATGTGCACATCACTCTAGATGCATCCTTTGTGGACAGGCATACATGAGCCCTGCTTGGGAAGGGGAATGCCACAGGGAAACTCTTTTTGTGTGGTGTAATTTGGTTTACCCAGGACCTGGGGCTGCTAACCCCAGGGCTCAGAAGCCATCCTTTACCGGTAACAGAAGTCATCCTGCTGCCTGTGGCATAGACACCACATACACATTTGGTGCATAGACCCTGCCTGTGTCAGTGTGAACCAGGGCCATGAGGAACGTGGTCCTCCCCACAGTGCCTGACCTAGTGTGCTGGATCTTGTGCTGCACGGCTCCACAGCAAAGCGACTCTCTCTCTACCTTCAGGACACCGTTGTTAGCCTACAGGCCCTTGCTCAGTATGCAGCCCTGATTCCTCAGGAGACCAGAGAAGTAAAGGTGACAGTGAAAGGCAAGGAGGCTTCTCCATTGGAGTTCCATGTGCACAGGAACAACAAATTGGTCCTGCATCAGGCATCTCTGCTTGCAGTTCCGGAAACGTACACAGTGCAGGCAACTGGCAGCGGCTGTGTTTATGTACAGGTGAGTATATCAAGGAACAGAACTGTCAGGTTTTGCCACTGACTATTCAAGTGAGGTTGCAGGCACTATAGCCTCAAATTCTGAGTAAGATTTGGCTTTGTAGGCAGAATCATGTCAGACTTGAAGGAGCTCAGGTATACTGTGTTGAATGGTTTTATTGCAACCACCTATGGTATCTTCTTCTCAGGAATGTCTCCTGCTGTCTCATGCTGCAAAGCGATGTCACTGTTAAGAGATCAGTAGATCTGAAGTCAGGAGTAATGAGATACAGAACAGTACCTACTTCTGTATCGAGCATATATTGCTGATGTCACTGCTTCAGGAGCTGAGCACTCTATATTTTCTGACATAATATTCTCTGGGTTGTTATCACATGCAGAGATGAGAAGTGATGTAGGACCAAGGTCTTCTTATCCCAGCACACCAACACAGCTGGTCCATCAAGAGAATACATCTTCCTTTTCTGGCAGCTTTGATAGTGGTCCGCTTATGAGCTGTTCATACAGCAAAGAACTCAAGCCACTCCCTGTAAAAACCTCCCTCACTGGGTCACCTCTGTTCAGCCATCTCTTACGATGCTCACAGAGAATCTGCAAGCAGTGTAGAGACAAGAGGACACAACAATTATTTATTGTTAATGCATGTAGGAGGTAACTAGGACTCATACTACTTGGTTACACTTGAAAATAGTCAGCAAGCGTAAGACATCTGATGAGTACCTGCTGGCCAGGCAGTTAATCACCAGGCAGTCGGAGGAAGATTGGCCTATGCTGCTCTTTGGAGAAGCGTGATCATCCCACTTGCTGAACTGTCCTCTTATGATCCTTTGCTCTTTCTTTCTTTGTTAAGGGATTTATACTTGTTTTGTCAGTATTTTTCCTCTTCAGACCTAGAACTACTAGCTATTATCATGTCAACAGTTAACAGTTAACGTGTCCTTCTCCTCTTGGGCAGGGTTTCAGCTAATGTAATTTCTCACACCTTAGCAATAATTTTTTCCGTAAGACTGAGACAATGTTGTACTGAATGAGGCCTTGGATCACAGATAGCTGAGCCTCCACGCTGAGGGTTACTTTTGGCAGATGTATCTGATGCTATGGGCTAAACGTGTCTGAACAGCAAGCACAGTTGGGGCCAACTGTGTTAGCCACTGGTTACCAATTTGTTAAAAGCTGGAGGCACAGGTGGTGCTTTAGCTCATAGTGGAAGCTCTGGGGCACTTCATAACGATGTGTTCTCCCTCATCAGACCACTTTGTACTATAACACCCCGCCACCAAAAAAAGAAGAGGTCTTTGTCCTGGATGTGGAAGCAGTACCAAGAGAGTCTGATGGTGCCAGGAAACAGCTTGACATCCATGTGTCTGTCAGGTATGAGATCCTTTTAGGCTCTTTCTTCAGTGGAAAGAAGCAGGAGCCCCAGTAGTATGACCAGAACCCCATAAAAACCTGTCTGTGAAGACAAAGACACAGGGGAAGACACTCTTCTTCTCCATAGATCCCAAAGAGATCGTGAACTGAGAATTGAGGCCTGAAGAAGAGTGGGAATGCATTGGCAGTGGTTTCCAGAACCACAGCAACTCTCTCAGTCAGTGTGGAGCAGCTCAGCAGCCCCAGGAGCACTAGCAGCTGAGATGGCAGTGTTCCCCAGAGACAGAGCTTCCCCCTGGGGGAACACCTAGCAGTCTGGGCTGAACAAGCCCTGAGGTGCTTTATCCTGCAGTGCTGAACCTCTGCTGGAACCAGAGAGCAGAAACTCCAGTCCCTATCCATATTTCACTTGCCTGCATCTGTCTAGGAGGAGTGTCTTGGTCCATATTCTCCATGCTCTACTGTCCTGAAAGAGAACAATCCCAACATTGCCGCTCTCAGCCTGTAACACTAAAGATCACTGCCTGTTGGAGAGGGTAGCATGGAGATTAACCATAACACAATTGCCCCAAAATCTGTCTCCATATTGAGCAAGTAGACGGGGGCAATGTTTTGTCCCTTTCTCCCATCAGTTAGACATGCTGCTGAACTTTCACATCACTGTAGAGCAGGCAAAGTTTGGAAGTGTTCATTAGTAACTTCTAGAAATGCTGTAATGTCTTCCACATCTAATGTGCTTCTCTTCTGCCTTTTTCTAGTTACGTAGGGGACCGTGAGACCAGTAACATGGCCCTGGTGGAGGTGGAGATGCTGTCAGGGTTCATTCCTGTGAAGAGCTCTGTGAAAGAGGTAAGACTTTTTCCTCTGGCCTTCCCTGAAGACAGGAAAATCTATTTTCCAGATGTAGTTCAGCCAGAAATATCCAAACATCTAAGAACTGATGGAGAATTGTAGCTACTTATCTTTCTATAAATTAGCTAAACTAAGCAAGTGCAGACACAGTGGCCTATTCCACAAGGCAACTTTCTACTTGCAGGACTGATTGTGCAGTTTTCCATCATCAGTAGTGAGGATCACATATGCAGTAAGATTAGAGAGGAGCTGAGAAGCACCTATTTAGAATCATCTGTCATGCACTGAGACCCTTCGCTGTTGCCAGTGCCATTTGTAGAGATGCTTCATAAAGCAGTGTTGAATCCCATAGAGTTGTTCAGTGACATTCTCCAGTGTTCCAGGAAATAGCCAGGAAGATCCATCATAGCCTCCTGCTAACCATCCTTCCCTTTGCTACAAGTGCTGAAAGTAGGAACGCGGCTTAAGGACACTGCTTACAAATCTGAAAAAATCTTTTTTAAGGCTTTGTGCGCTCCCAACAATCTCAATGCCACTGTAGCTGGGGAACGCCAGCCTTCCTCTGACTAGGCTAAGTGCTTTAGTCAGCAGTGGTTCACTGACAAATACCAAACTTGGTGTGAGACAACAGGGAAGGCCAGTGAGCTGATGCTAACCAAGCTCATCTCTTGTCTTTCTATACAGCTGGAGAAGATATCCCTGGTTAAAAAGACAGAGATAAACCCAGACAAAGTCATAATCTACTTGGAAGAGGTAAGACGACAACCACAGGGAGCTGCCCATTCAAGTAGTAGTAACTGCAGTACTTCATGTTATGAGTCTCAGAGATCAAAAATACAAATCTCTAGACTGATCAAGCAGGCTAAAATTTTGGCAAAAGAGGAAGAGGGTGGGAGAACCTGGAAAGACAGAGAAGAAATCTCTGATGCAAAGGGAATAAAGTTGGTATGTAGGTGACTTCAAGATGGCCAGTGCATTTCTGCTCACTCCTATTCTGCTCTCCAGCTGGGTGAGACTTCTCTGAAGCTTAACATCTCAGTGGAACAAGATATTGAAGTGCAGAACCTGAAAGCATCAACAGTGCATGTCTATGACTACTATAAGCCAGGTGAGATTTCACTGACACAGGCAAAGAGTAACTATTACACCCCAAGTCAGACACCGCTCTGTCTATGCCCCTTATTCCCTTATTTCCCTTGTTCCAGTGTATTTCCTCCTGCAACTCCAAGCTTGGGCTTCCTCTGTACAAAACTTCTACATTCAAGTAACAAAATCACTTGCTCTTAGGTTCTTGAGATGAGGCTGCCTGGCACAATGATTATGTTGTGGTGTGTATACATTCAAAATGACTGTATTTTTTGATGGCTTCTAGCTTCAACCTATATCTCAGTGGAAAGAAAGCTCCTCTGTCAATTTACCATGTCTTCTCCAGCTCCTTAGCTATCTTGACAATGCTTAGGCATTTGTTTAAAATCAATATTACATACTGCCACCCTGATCCACCAGAAGGCAGAATTTGATTCTGTGCTTTTCATGTACAGTGTAACAATCCTACCATCCACTGGGTGTTGTTTTGTCTCTGAGGATAATAGGAAAATAATTTCTTACTCTTTAAAGCTCTAAATGAACTATCAGCACACAGAAGAGAGATCTAGGAGTCATTTTGAGTCTCTCTGATTATCCTATGCTCAGTATGAGCCAAAACAGCAGACGGAACACTAAGAATTATTAAAAAAAATCAAAAGAATTTGAGAACAAAATGGAAAAAATGCGACTGGAGATTTAGAAATTAGCGCCACAGGCCTGTATGTTGTATACTGAATTCCATTCTTGTTCCCCCTTCCACACCATGTCAAGAACAGGAGGACACTTCCTAATTCAGCCTACACAGAGCTAAATATTGTCACCTAATATGCTCTTTCTTTGCTATTCCATCTTGTACAAGAATTTTTTTGCTTAGTACACACAATTCAAAAATTGTTGTCTGACATGAAAATACTAATTCTCAGTAAAAAAGCAAGGCTATCAGGACACACTACTCAAAGGTTCTCCATTTACAAAAATGTCCTTACATTAGAAGGTATCACAAAGAATCAGAAAGTCTTTTACAGCTGTACGGGAGACATGCTGGGGAGACAGACCATTGGTCTGACTCACTGCAGACATTTTTCTGTTCCTGCATTCACAGTCAGAAGAGCAAAAAATTAAGGTCGTGGGATGGTTATGTTAAAAGAGAAAGAAGCTTGGCATTACCCTACCATGCAGTTCTACAGCTCACTACCCTTTCTCTTTTGTTTCTACAGATGACCGCACAGCAAGAGAATATGTTTTCCCTCACAGTTCAGGTCAGTGTTAACAGGATTCCAAGGTGGGAACAGCTGAAACAGAGCAGAGGACTGGTAGTAAGCAAGCACAGCAGCCCACCTCTGCTCTGTATTTAATTGCATCATGTGCTGTAGAGCCTTCTTGGACTGCAGGTTGAACTGGAATCTACTGCACTAGTTGTGGGCGCAGTTTCTAGTCTAGACAGAATTTCAATGCAGACCAAGGCTTGAGCATACCATAGAAGGTTTAAAGTATCTATTTTTATTCCATTTCCATACACTCTTCACATGTGCAGTCCTTGCAGCATCCCAAATCTGAATGCAACTGGAAATGCCTATGTCAATGACAAAAACATGTTGCAACTCATCCCCTAACACCTCTTAGTCACCTTAGACAGCTTCCTAAAAACTCATCAGGCACTTTCTTTTCTCTTGATCTTTCTTTCCACAGATGCCTCAAAGAAGGGCTCCTACTAGAATGCCCTGGCTCTACAACCAATAATCTCAATTTTCTGTTTCCATACGGAAAACTTCATCATTCTGTCTCTCCTCTGCTGTGTTGGACACACCCCATTTCCGTTGATCTATGCCCTAAGTTTCTGTGTGAAACCTGCCTTCATACACAGTAGTTTGGGATGAAGTGAAATAAAGTATGTTGAACCTGGAAAGACTGCAATGACTTGATTGTTGATGAAGTCTGACAGATTTCAATGCCTAAAAACCAGAGAAACATTACTCAGATCGTGGTTACATACTTTGCTTTTGCTCATCATAGTGGCTTAAGTCTTCCTCTCCTCCCTGAGTCCCATCTCTGGGCTACATTCTCAATTCAGTTAACACAACAGTTTGCCTGCAACCAAACTCCAAGCAAAAAAAGGTGGGTTTAACCCTGATCTGGTTCACTACATGGCCCTGTGAATCACCTTTCTGTCAGAACTGAGGAGTAGGAACAGGCAAGGGGAGGCTAAGGGAGAACTACTTTACCAGTTCTTCCAGACCGAAATAACATCCCTTCCAAATACACTACATGTTGTGTGGCCTGTTGTTTGTTTCCATTTCTTACGTCAAGTGGGAGCATTTCAGAAACTCAAAAAGGGGCATGATCCTGCAGATCTCACTTTTGGATCCCAGTTCCACTAAATCAAGGGCTCCAGGATTATCTTTCAATGCTTACTGCTTTAAAAGCAAGTCTGCCAAGCCATACAAAAGAAGGGCTAGATCTGGGTGTGTTTGTGGAGCTGTCTTTTTATAGCCTATGCTTCTTTCTTTTGGTACCAAACATTAGTAACCTCCTTTTAGTGATTTAGTTACCTTTCATGAAAAGAAATAGTAATATGAGGCAGTGATGGACTCTGCGTGCATGCAGGACATGCAAAGCTAAAGCTGATGTAGTAGTTTAATGCAAACAGAAGACATTAATAGATGTTACCATGTAGTGAACTGTCCACCATCTTCCTGAGGTTATGGCAGTTTCACCTTCCTGATGACATGGCAAACAGGGATTGATGTCCTTACAGCTTCCTCTTTATACCTGTCTTGCAGAAAGGTATCAAGCATCTATCTAAGACAACCTCATTGTGTAAATGACTGCTGCATGTCTCCAGCTTGTAGCACCAGAACCGAGGTAGTACCTGAATGGCATTATAGGTCCTGCATTGTGGGTGTGCTTCTGGAGCTGGGGCTACAAAAGGATGCTCTTCCCTCCAGACACTGACTAAGCAACAAATGATGCCCAGGAGATATAAGCCTTGAAGATGAAAAACAGGGCCTAAATGTCTGGAAAAAGACCAGGAGCTGCAGAAAAGCCCTTGGGCCAACACAGTCTAGGTAGGAGGAGTGGCAGAGGCAGGCAGAGACCTTCCAATCCACATCCCACCTGTAGGGTTGCTCCAGCTGTGGACCTGAACTCAGGTGGAGACAGCAGAAAAAAGACACTGCAATCCTGTATGCGGTTGACTGTATCTGCAAGTTCACCTGTTCTGCCTCATAGGGGGCTTGCCCACCAGCTTTACTGCTGGTGCCTGAAAAATCGCAGTGTGGGTCGATTACATCTGCACACACCAACTGCTGATTCACTGGGAAAACAGCCTTAGAATCCAAAAAGGACAAAACCTCATTGTGTACCCTGGCTGTGAAAGAGGTTGATGGCAGCATCACAGGCTGAGAAAGAATAGGGCCTGCCTTGATAATGGTTTTAGGGCTCTGAACAGCACCATATAAACCAACCAACCAACAAAAAACCCAACCCATCAGTGGAAATTCACTTTACCCTGATAAAACTAACCAGCCTTGATGCAGGAACATACCTGCTCCAACCACTCCTCTCTCTCTCCCTCCCTCTTGGAAGTGGGGATCCTGCAGTAGAGGGGGGTAATGAGGGGAGAGGAGGAGAGGGGAAGGTCAGGGACTTGGGCCAGGTGGGCTGTGTGGGAATGTAGGACGGGAAAGGGAGACAGGGCCCTCTTGGGTGAGCAGGGACATTGGGATGGAGCTCTAGGTGTTGGGGAACACAAGGGCAAGGCAAGACCTTGCTTCCCCCACCCCCTGCCAATGTGTCCAGTCTCCTCCTGTCACAGCCCTGGTTGCCAAGCTACCCTAAGACCTCTGCTCTTCGTGCCTGTGCCTTCACTGGCACCCTGCACCCCCACTTCCCCCAATCCCTCCCCTCCCATTCTCACACACCTCATTTTCTCCTTCCCTCTGTCCCCTGCACCAAGATCCTCTCTCTCCCAGGGCGTCTCCTTTTCTGAGACCCACTAACACCCCCACGAAGGCTCCAGCCCAACCCCTGCTCCTGGGACACTCGCTCCTCTGCCCAGCAGTGTTCCTTGTCAACCCCTACAGGCAGCCGCGGGGCAACTATTCCTGGTTCTCTGCTTCCCCTCCACACTGCCCTGCTCCTCCACTGCCAGCACCCTAACCCCAAGCCCCAGTCCCCATCGCCCACCTGGCCTGCCTAAACAGCTGCCAGAGCTGCTTGGCTGAAGCACTGCTGTTCCCAGAAAGGTCCCTGCCTCTTCCAGAATCCTCTGCCTGCCCAAGCGTTCTGTCCACCCCCGTTTTTCTTCTCTCTTCACTTTCATGGCCGGCAAATCTGTCCTTCCCGAGTTGACCTAGCCCTCCTGTCCGCTGTATATGCCTCCTTCCCATCTGCGCAAGACCCCTGCTTACTCTTCCTCTTGTTTTCTATTCTGCTTTTGTCTTCTCTTACTTCATTTGCTACTTTGTATTTCTCCGTGTCCCCTTTACACAAAGAAATTTTTCACGCACAGTGTACATTTCTGCAGTTGGTGTCCTTTCCATTGTCATCTCTCCCTCTGAACTGTAACGGTCTCCTTTTTTTTTTTGCTTTGTTTGTGTACCCAGGCATCCCATGTTGAACTAGAAGTTTAGTCCTAACTACACCTTCTTTAATATAATTTTTTTATGTCGTGCACCACTACTTCATGTTCATCTTCTGTAAACAATCAGAAATTACTGTCTCTATAGGTGTGATTTGTGGTATCATTTTCCTTCCCCCCCCCCCTGCTTCTTGGAAAAAACTGCGTGTGACTGTAACAGGCCCTTCCTGTTTTCTTTGAAGATTGTCATCTCCCCTTCTTGGACTCTGACTTACATGGCCACTTCCCATAAAACTGAGTTCAGTTTTGCCATTTCAGCTGCCCATGCCCAGACCATACTACAGCCTCAGTCACTGTGCTTGTTTAGACTCTGGCAACACCCAGTCCCACCCTGTTAAGGCGTTAACCCAGATGGCTAATCCTTACCTGTGGCACTACTGAAAAACATAACAATCACCCGAGGAATTTCAGGATGCAACACATGCAGCAGGAGAGTGGAGTGTATGCAGATGCCTCATCAGGATCTGCAATGCCATTAGCAAAGTAGCACACATAAAAGGTGGGATAGTAGATAAGAAAAAATGAGGGGAAATGAAGAAAAAGTGAACAAGGTGTGCTGTGTATTTGAGAGGTTGATGATGCTTCCAGAAAGGAAGTACCCAGGAGAGAAAAATGGGAGAAAAAGGAATATAAAGTGAAGAAAATCATGTCACCAGAGTTGTCTGGTGCAGCCCTTTGCTCGATCAACACAGCTTGCAAGAGGACAGTAAATCTATTTTTTCTCTGACCATCCAGAACGATCTGTCCACAAAGCGGACAGAGCCAGACCTGCCTCCCCTGCTCACCATTGCTCTTGGGGTTGTCCAGCAGGGACAAGAAGAAGGAAAATAGAAGTCTCACAGCTGTGCCTAACAAGCATTTAGGAGAGGTAGAAAACCTGAAGGAATCAAGTGATTCTCTGGACAACAGACACAAAAAGAGGATAGAGCTGAGTTCAAGCGAGCAAAAACATGAAGGAACAGGAAGGGGCCTCCAAGGAGCGTTCCTCTACCATTGTCCCTTCTCAAGACATCAAGGGAGTTGCTAACCACAGTTCGATGGTGGTCTGCCAATGGACAAGAAAGGACAAGGGAGCAAAGTGGGCCCTACAGTCTCCCAGTTGCCTTCCTGGCAAGTTTCTTCCTGTGGGTATTTGGGCTGGACCGGAGGAGCTGCGGGAGGAAGGTCCTCTAATCTGGTTGAACTTCAGATAGGGAGGTTGTAAATAAAAACTGAAGGCTGTAACCCAGTGTGCTCATGAGCCAGGCTCTCCTGCTTCTGAATGGACATGTGTCAAGGGTCTATTTTACAGTTTATGTAATCAGATGGCCATGAAATTAGATGTGGATAGAAACAGGCCCACCAAGATTCCTCTCCTTCTGATGATAGGAAGTCTTGCCACCTTGTACCTGTGTGGGGTAGGTAAGCAAGGAAATTGTGTGAAATGTGAATTCAAACAGAGGTTTCTGGACTGTGTTTTCAAATCAAATCGATGTTGTTCAGCTGCATATGAGAGGGGCTGAAGAAGCTGACAAAGGGCAGGATTGAAAAAGAGTTGCTGTGTGACAAGCTTCCTTAAGATAGGAGTGTACAGCAGAAGCCAGTGAGGTCTTCGCAAACATCAGGGAATGAAGTAAGAGGCTAATCTGTGGTGGGTGGGCAATCAGACGCTTACTCAGTTCTGCTGACTGTAGAAAGGTGCTCCCTGTCCTTGGTGACATCTGTAGGCAACATCTTCCAGTGCAAGAAAGGAGCCTTTGCTATGTGTCAGCAAACGTGGGGTATGAGTAGCTGGCAGATGGCCAGGAGACTTCCTCCCATCAACTCACCAAAGCCGCTGTGTGGGTCTTGGTTGCCCGGATGGCCTGGAGGCAACTGGGAAATTTCCTGCGAAGTCTTGCAGCTTCAGCCTGCAAAAAGAAGTTCCTGCAGAGCACAGGACGGGAAGCAGCTAACAGGCAATCTGGTAACTAGTATCTCAGATAGCAAGGGATTTTTCTGCGAAGAAAAGCTCTTAAAGGGAGTGAGAAGTAGGCTCCTTAAAAGGAGGAGGACTGTAAGCACACGAGATGACCCCAAAAGGATTCTGACCTTGTT